CCGGATGGAACCAGCAGAGGTGGCTGCATGGGTGAGAGACAGAGCACACACGCAAGCCCTGGTTTATCGTCGGTGGAAACCGAACTCCTGGAGACAACAGAGGGGCAGGAACCCCTCTTGGGTCCATCTTTGACTTGGAGCAAACGGTAAGGACTTTGTAAGCCATCTTTAAGCTGATGTGCACCCTACTATGGGCAAAGGAAGAGGACGTAGGCAGGGACAAAGGTGAGTTCTTGCTGAAAGCAATCATTTAGAGGGGTCAGGGGACTATAATAGCTCCTTGTTGGGCAATTCTGCCCCATCACTCTCTTTCAGAGCCGAAGGAAGTACCTCCGCTTTATCCCCAGCTCCCACATACACTCCTCCAAAGAGAGGGAAGTGGAAGTTAAAATATTTAAATCTACTCTTGTGGTTGTTGCAGCTGATCCAGCTTTTTTATTATCTGGTTGGAAAACTAGTCCGTGTCCCCGACCCAGAGGGGATGAGTGGGCTTAGTTCTCTTAGTCATCGCCACGGGCACCAGTCCTGCGCAGTCCTGGGCGCTCCTCCTCTTCCAAGGCCTAGGTGGCCTCTTCCATAAGGAGACAAGAGGGAGAAGGCAACGCGCTTCTGGGAATCCAGGCAGATACTGAAAGATGAGATGTTCACCACCTGCGTGCAGATCCGGAGGTGAAGCTACCCGGCCACCCCTGGACAAGGTGGACAGATTTGGCCAAGTTCAGCTTGAAGACCTGGCTCTGCAGGTGCAGCTCCAAGAAATCCTTGATATTTAGGTGCAAGACGCAATCCAGCTTCATCTTGCCTTCATCCAGCACCATCAAAGCAGCACAGTCCTTTCAAATAGACATTGTGGGTCCTTCTCCTGTAGGGTCAGCGGCACCTGGATACCTTTGTGTCCAGGATCTTGGCCAGAGTGAACTTGACCCTCTGGACCTCATATTTGTTTCAGAGCCCATACTTGCTGAGGTAGTTAGTTTATTGTGCCAACCTGGCTGATAAACACATGTGGGGTTAATTGAAGGACGGAGGGATAAATGGCTTGGTGAGCCTCGCCTTTCTAGTTCTCAGATTTTTTTTGTGATGGTCCGACCAGGTTGCAGTTGCCTTAGCCAGTTACCTGCTTCAGCTGGCAAGGCTGACTTCCTGCAAGACATCCCAAGGGTGAAGGTGCATGGACCTACCCCGATGCAGCCCTGGGTGCTGGAGCAGCTATGTGGAGACCCCTGCCAGCGCTGAGATGCTTACACGTTCACTGATTCGGCTTTCCTCCTACAGTAGGTGTCATAGTGTCTGTTCTGTGAGATGGAGGAGGACTTTGTGGATTGGTGTCGGACATATGGGTTAATGTTGGACTTGTGGGCTTGGGCAGCACTGGGTTGGGATGTTTTCTTGATGTGTATTTAACCTTTATATAAAATTTTCTTATACATGAGTTTCTGTGGATTTGTTTCTCTAAAGTACCCAGACTAACACACTTGCCAAGCAGCTTCAGTTCTTGGTTGAGACAAGGAATCAAAGTGTCCCCTCAAGAACCCATCGATTTTCAAAAAATGTCAGGCCAGTGACATGCTGAGTCCAGGGTCAGAAAAACGGCTTACATTTGATTTTACTGCATATGTTCTTGTTGCTCAAGATCTTATTTGTAGCATCTTGCAAAAGCCTTGCTAATTCACACAACAGACATAACTGTGGCATGACTCTTCCGTTTAGGCCAAAGACATATCATTCTGAGGGGAGAAGGGGCGAACAGTCTTTCAAACTATCTTTCGAAACAGAGAGACAGAAGGGAAACTAAATCAGTGACTCAGTATGAAGGCAGGGGCGTGGGAGAATCCAGGGGCTTTGGTGGAACAGTGGGATACCATTAGGCTGCTAACTGCAAGTCTGGCAGTTCAAACCCACCAGCCTCTTCATGGGCAAAAGATGCGGTGACTGTTTCCATAAAGATTTGCAGTCTGGAAAATTCCAAGGATCGGTTCTGTTCTGTGTGATAGGGTTACCATGAGTCGGCCTCGACTCAACAGCAGGGCTCCTTTGGTTTGAGTAAATAGCTGAGCCTGGCAGCTCCCGGCACACTCTTCACTTTCCCAGGGGGTTCCCTCCCGGGGTTCAGTGGTCTTTCTCATGACACTGCAGACACACATGGTATGAGGTCCCTCGTACTGCTGACCTTCTAGCTACCCTTCACCTAGCATGTGGAACATGGCTAAACACAAAACCAAAGAAGCAGATCAACCAACATTGGACACCTCCCTGGGAGATTATGGGAATTCTAATCCTACTAGAGCAAAACGATCAAGAAGACAAGGACTGTGACAGTGTTTGCTCATGCAAACCCACTATATCTGTTCATTGAGTACCACATAGTAGGTGCTCAAGACATAACTGTTGAATGAATGAATGAAAAAAATTTCACCACAAATGGTGTCTTGGGAAAAGTAGACATAGTTCAAACTTGATGCTTTCTAAAAATACGTTTTCAAGCTATTTATTCATTCATTCGTGTAACTGTGTGTTTTCCCTATGGGGGACACTGGAATAGGAAACAACGTGACAGTCTACCGAGCACCCTAACGAGGAGGGGGGGACAAGATTTACTGAGGGCTACTGTGAGCCGAAGAAGAAGGACTGAAGAAAAACAGCTGCATCTACAGTGCTGGTGAAGAATGCGGAAAGTCCCATGGGCTGCCAAAAGAACAAACACCTGTCTTGGAAGAACTTCAACCAGAACGCTCCTTAGAGGCTAGGATGCCGAGACTTCACATGTACTTTGGACATGTGACCTATAGAGAACAGGGCCTAGAATAGGCCACCATGCTAGATAACGTGGAGGGGCAGTGTTAAACAGGCCCTGGACACAATGGAGGGGCACAGGGGCTAGGAGCATGGGTTCGGGTGTAAGAACCACTGTGAGGGTGGCACAGAACTAGGCGGGGTGTGGTTCGTTGTCCGTGGGGGGCGATGGGTGGGACCTGACTTGTCAGCCCCTAACGTCAAGCGCCGCCCCATGAGCGGGGCACTTCATAGTCATGATTCCATCTCCCAACAACCCTGCGAGGTAAACCTTATGACCCCCTTTGCAGATAACAAAACTAAAACGCACGCCAACTGCAACTCGGGCCACAGACAGAGGGAGGAAGCTATTCTGGGACCTGGGTATTGACCTCTCTCATGTGCTTTCTCCCTGAGTCCACTGAAAATCACGGCCTGGTGTTCTCTTACATGATGTGTGTTGAGCAGACTCGGGTTTTTTTTAAAAAATGAGTTCTAAACAAATAGCTTCATTGGGAAAAGAAAAATCTGAGTTTTAGAATCTCAGTGACCAAAAGAGTTTTATAACAACATGAAGTACCTCATTGGAAGCTAAAACCAATAAGTCGCTTGAACTAAATAAAGGAAATAAAACCTCAGTCAACAAGTTTCGAAAGTATTAGGATCAAACCATTGCTGTGACAAACCAAGAACACTGAAATACGAGGGTCAAAGTCCAAATAAAGTGCAGCCGGGTTCCCACGGCCGATGGTGAGCAAACGAACGCGCAGCCAGGATGCTGCCGGCTCCTTCTTTGCTCGTCACAGCATTTCCCCAGCACGCTGCTCCTACTTGCCAACGGCGATGGACTTATAACCAGCTATAACCATAACACAAATTGTGCTCCCTGACTGATCTATTGTGTGTTTGCCGATCTGTATTCTGAGAGCTCCCACTGTAGGTGGGAACCCTGAAATAGAGAAGGAACCCGTAGCAACAGAGCACTTAGAGAAACACTCCAGGGGGGGGCGGGAGGGGGGGGGGGGTTTCCCAGTGCAGAGGTGGCCAAGGAGGGGTTGCTTGTCTGGGTTACAGAGAAGGTCCTGGATGGCCTATTTGGGAATTGCCATTTCTTCCCCATGGGTGGAACGCACAGGCCTGGAGTCACTGGCAGCAGAAATGTTGACAACAGGTTATTCTCACCGACCCTACCTGGATCAGATGAGGAGCTGTGAGAACAGAGATCCTTGATCAAATCACAGCTCCAGCAGCTACAAAGCATGACCCGAGAGGGTGGGAAGTGGTTTAGGGCTGGGACCCTCGAAAAGGACACGGCCCAACAGTGTAGTAATGGTACTCTCTTATCTACAGAGCTCTCTATAATTTTCAGTGATCGAACCCTGGTGGTAAAAGGGTTACAACCCTCGGCTGCTCTCTGAAAGGTTGGTGGTTCAAGCCCATCCAGCTACTCTATGTCAGAAAGGCCTGTGAGCATCTGTCCCAACACAGGGTTCGCCATGAGCCAGCACTAGCTCAATGGCACCCAGCAGCAGCAACAGCCCACGTGTCGGGATTTGGTACCAACCCTAGGAATAAGGAGCTATGCTTGCAGTCACAGAGGAAGTCGCTGCAGGTAATCTGTCCCTTATCCAGGGTTCTACGGGTAGCAACCACTGAAGAAAACTCAAATGCTCTAACTTCTCATTCCAGATGTCTTGCTACCACTATCTCCAGAGCAACCGCAGGGGTCTGGTTCATAGGAGTCAGGTAGAGCTGCCTTAGCCTATCCTGGAGTGACTTTTCTTTCCCCTCAGTCATAGGATTTGTGCAAATGCTGTAGACGCCAAAGCTTTCGTGTCCTTGTATGTAAAATGGGGATCTATGCAACAGCCAGCCCAGGGATGATCGTGGGATGGGACGCACTTGTGCATCTGGCATCAATTGTGCTCTCCCTGGTTAGTGCTGCACAGAGAACGAAGGTATGTATAGGACAGGAGCTCTGGATGGCGGCACCTCCTGTCCCCGCCATACTTTGGCAGGGCTGGGGGAAGAAAATCACTCACTGACACTTTGCTGTATCCAATGCTACAAGGAAATAAAAGTTAGAACAGGCGTGGGAGTCTTCAGGGTCTGAGACTGAGCCTGGGATGGGGATCATTTCGGAGGGAGCATTTATGCCCACCCTTCTTCCCTCTCCTAGTGCCGTATGTACTGGGTGTCTAAGGCAGAGAGGACATGCCATCTCCCACCTGGAAAGCCATGGAGTTGGCGGCAGCCAGAAATATCCTCAGAGGCAGCTTGGCCTTGTAGGACCTGTGGCTCCACAAGCGATGGGCACCAGCTGTCACGCCCAGAGCAGTCAGGAGGAAGCAGAAGTAGGCTGCAAGACACAAGCAGGGAGAATGTCAGCAAATGTCACATGCTGTTAAATGTCCCCAGTGCTTTCTTCTCTCCTGAATAGGGATGTGAAACTTGGAGACATGCAGCTTTTGCTATTGATGAAAGAAAAGAGGATAACTTACCTCCAGAAAATCTAACCATGATTCTTGTCCTTTACACATGATATAGTTAAGGTTTACTGTGCCAACCTGGCCAATAAACACATGTGG